CTGAATTAACCGCTGTCGGATTTTGTAGTAGAGTTTGGCGAATCAGGAATAAAGGCGTGGGCGTCACCCGGTTTCCTATTTTTATTGTAATGCTTTAGAAATAAAGCCTTAGAGCGCTTAGATGGCAGAACTGACATGGATTGCCAGATGGACAACATCCAGGGTAGTGTCTATTAGGTCGCAACACGTCAATACAATTAAAAGTTGCTTTTATATGTTCCTCGAATTACAAAATGTTGTTGCTATGTTAGCGTTGTGCCAGCTTTGAATTTCCGACCGATTTTAACTTTGGATTTGTATCCATTTCCTTTTTCATCCGAATCGGGAATGTGCCTCGAACATCATAGGCGTTGTTATATCGCAGGAGTTTAGGTGATATAAACCCAGCAACTGCGATCTTCAGACCATGGTTACTTAGTGCAGGGAGAAGTTGATAAAGGCCAGAGTAGTGGGCAGAGTATATTGTGTACACAAGGGGACAACGAATAGATGAACAAAGTCTTGACTTGGATAGCTCACGGCAAGCAAGAGAGCCAGCCGCGATTCAAGTGCGGTCTTTAGCAGCAGGCATACAAGCAGCAGCGAGAATGGGCATTGCCTGTTTGCCTTGAAGTTTATTGGCCGGACAAACTGCATCGACCTAGGAGTGCCTGCGTCTTATTCGCCGGCGGGGGAGACAACCTTTGCGGATCTGCGATCGGCTGTTGCGGAGGCCGCCGTCAGTGCGGATGTACGCGTTAGCATCAGTGGGCACTCAGACATGCTCGCCTATGTGGAGTGAGTCACCACAGTTCCGCTGGATAATCTTATTGTCAGCTGTTGCGTACGCAGTGTTTATGGGATACAGAAATTACCGCAAACATACAACGAAAATTGACGGAAATTGCCTTCTTGCGCGTTGACCGTTTGTTGAACGGCATGTGGACCTTGACTTGTTGAAAGGAGCGTGTCATCGAAGAAAACCATGATATAACTTGGCAGAATGCTTAACTCTTTTAGTTTCCCCAACAAGTGTGTTGATGAGCGGAGTGTGGTTTTTGATTCGGCGGTCAGAAAGTTGAGAAGACGATACAGTCACCTCGCCAGTCCGTACGCTGTAGTGCCTTTATTTGAAATGATGAGTCAGAGAGAAGCGCCCTCCTTCTTCACTTCGGGAGGCCGTATAGGCATGCCATGGCCAGTTCATGTGCTCTCGTCAGGCAATGGTCAGACTGCCGGTGAAGGGGATACCAATAGGTTCACCGATATCGGGCCTTATAACAGAGGCCGTCCTACAACGGCTGGAGTCGCTGGTCTTGCAACACCACAGACCAAAATTCTGGGTGCGGTCATCATCGAACGGGATCAGGTGCTCATGTTACAGGAAAGTGTCAGCAGCGTCTTCCCCGACATCCAATTAACGATGGAGGAGGCAGAGAACAACCAGCTGGCCTTCCTTGATGTCCTCGTGTATCGAAAAGATTGTGGTGGCCTTAAGGCTAAAGTATCTACGAAAGCGTCAAACACGATGCATGTACTGAATTACAGCGGCAATCAGCCATAAACGCAGTTGCGTAAGGATGCTCTATCGGTGTGTTCAGACACAATGCAATGAACCAGAAGACAAAGATGCCGAAATACAATATCCTCGACGGGTTTTCAGAGAAATGTCTACCCGCGCAACTC